CTCATTTTATCATTTTTTATCTGTATTTCAGTTTGGTTCATATCTGTTGTTACATCTTCAACTTCAGTGATCTTCCATATCTAATCCATTTTTAATGTTAGAAAATAATTCACCTAAGACATTTTAGTTTCCATTTCTAGAAGTACAAACTAGGTTTTTATGATTTCTTCCTGGCCTCTACTCAAACACTTTATTATATGAAATACTATTATCATTACTATTTTGATATTTTAAGTTTTGCTATTCCTAAAATTAGTGCTAATTCTCTATTGAGCTCAATTGAGAGATTACTGTCCTCATAAGTGGCATATTTACTGCTTCTTTGCACACATGCTAATCTTTTAATTGGTTGCTAGATATTTTGAAATTTGCTGTTGCGGCTGCTGGATAATTTTACTTCCTTATACACATTTTTGAGATGTGTTTAACAAGGATGTTTGGGACTGACAAGGTTTAAGAATTAAATTTACTGAGTAATGCATGTGCCCTGCCCAGAACATTAAAGAGTAATATGCTCCGGACAAGGTTGTTGCCTAGAGGAATAACAATGGGCCTGAGTTTCTGCATTGAGGCAAGAGCTGCCCAGCCCCATGATAAGTGGAGGCCTGGAGGTCACACAATAAATAAATTGTTCCTTTGATTGCTACTTAACCCCATAAGATGGCTGGTTAGTCAATGATGGGTAAGATCCCTCAAGGGAGGGAAAACCTAAGACAGGCAAAGCCATAGAGGATTGGCCTAAGAGGAACTGGGGATGAAAAATGCCCCCTGTGTCTGCCTTGCCCAACCTTGCTAATCTCAGTCTGTGATCTATGCCTGGCACCTCAAGCAACTGCCTGAAAACCTTGAGTCAGGGGACATCTGTGTCCTTAGGCTACATGTTCCAGAATGTATGGCCATTGCTGCAATGCCTGGGTGCTCATGTACAAAGAAGTAACTTTGATTTTTTATTTTGGGTATAAAAATAAAAGGACTGCTACATTTGGCACTGCAGTCTTGTAACCATCTTTGCATGTGTCTTTCTTTATGTATTCTGTGTTCATCCCCCATCCTGCAAATGGGCCACAGCACAAGGAGTTCTGTTAAATGAAAATAGATTGATCATTTCTGGTCTTGAATTCAAGACCAGAAATGGTCTTGGTACTGTTTGGTCTTGGTACTGTTTAATCGAGTGCTAATTTTCCCTAAGCAATACCCCTCTGATTATTCTAGCAAATGTTCTTTGAGTTGTAAGGTTTTCCATTCTGACATACAAGAATCAGCTGTATTCATGCTTTTGTGTAAGAATTAGTCACAGTTATTTATACAGCTCTAGGGTGATATTCTCCCCATCCTCAAGCAGTTTTATCATATCACATGCAAATACCAACCACTATTATGCTGAATATTTAGGTATGGACTCTCTGCACATCCCCAGAGTTCTCAAGACATGCAGCTCTCCCTTTTTGGGTATTTTTTTCTAAAAAATATACATATGTTGATCTTCTCAGTGCTCAGTTTCTTTATATCCATGAGAGAACTCACCAAGTCCCTTTTCAGTTGCCTTTTCCTGTTGTAGCTTTGTAAGTTATCTCATGCTAAGCTGGAAATGATAATCTAAGAATTCGAACTGACCTCTTCCCAGCATTGAAACATTCAATCTTTGGAGTCATTCAGAGCCAGAATAAAAATTCTATGATTTTTGCTGTTATTTGTTTAACTTTCTTTTTTCAATTCTACTGCTAAGAAGAGCCCAACACTGAGATTTCCTCTCCTAAAGCGTTATGGGGAGAACCAGAGTCACTGAGATTCAGGAAGGAATACCATGAAGCCTTGTAATCCTTCATATAGAATTCTCATACAAATAGTAATGATAATAATTATGGGTGATTGGTTAAATTTCTTGGCCTGCAGAAAAGATGAATTCATCCTTTGTTCTTACCTATAAAGAATTATACCATATACCTTGCCCAAGTGCTTTTACTGTTTGTGTTCTCTATTTGTCTCTGGAAATAGATTTCTTTATCTGTAGGGAATACCACATTAACATAAGTAAGTGCATACTAGACTTGCATAAGAATATTGAAAAACTAACCTTGTGAGTATGTGTTTTCATAGGTGCCTCTGAGAATTAGAGAGATATATTTAGATAATACCTAAAGGGAGTATGGGCAATGGAACATGTTATTGTATATAAGGGGTTAGCTCTAATTAAGTTTCAGCTCTAAGTAAGCATTCTGAAAAGGAGATTAATATTTTATATGGAATTCAACATGGGTCGTGAGGAGTGTTAAAAAGTAGTATTAATTTCCTCTTGGTCTAGGGGGATATTTTCCCTTTTTTTTACTTCCCTCATCAACAGTGAAATTCTTCAAATCTTCAAATAAGGTAGGTGTGTATCCTTACTCTGGTCAACAAAGCTGTAATATTATAAAAACAGATGATACTTAAACAGCAAAATACTAAGACTCATAGCATTATTTTTAGATTTGTTTTTTACTTTTCCCAGTTCTAGCCCTCCATTCCTCTTGCAAATATATACCTGATAACAGGGCAAGTGGAGTGTCATTTGCATTAAAATTTATATAATACTGATATGTAACAAACTCAGGGAGAATTAAACTCTAATTGATTCATTAGTTTCCAATTGGTTTTAATTACCAAGTGGCCATCTTTCATTGAAATTGAAGCAAAAGGAGATATATCAACTTCTATTTAAGGACATTCACAGTTGTCCCATGGAGATGATGTTTGGGCTGAGAGTTGAATATTGAATCTTGGGCCAGGAAAAAATTTTAAAAAAGCAGAAAGTCAGCATAGGGAAGTATAAAAAACCTGTGGTAGCATTTAAAAATATTTTATAGTATTCCAAACTGCCACACTTTTATTAAGGAAAAAATTGTGAATGGTTTAAATTTACTTCATTGTTTTAATCCATTTATGTATTACCTCGCCAAGAAAACTTTATTTTTCATTCTCTCCCAAGTTCAGTTAGATGAGTATTTCAAGACAGTTTATTCTACGCTATTGAAATTAAGAATAATTATACTTTTTGTTATGAATCATATCAATAAGAAAAAATAAAACTGGATACTTTTTAATTTAAAAAGTATATCCTAAATTCAATCCCACTGAACAAATATAATTACCTATTAAATATTGTATATGTATTTAAGTATTTATATTGCTTGCATTGATAATTTCAGATATTTTATAACATAATGTTGATTAAGTACAGTTTTTTTCTGTACACATTTTATATTTTTTCTTTCTTGTTTTTATTTCAGAATATTATGGGGGTACAAACATTTATGTTACATATATTGCCTTTGCATCACCGGAGTCAGAGATTTATGTGTGCCTAACCCCCAGACAGTGTGCACCTCCTCCATTAGATGTGAGTATACCCATCTCTTCCTTTCCCCTGCTACCTTCTGGACACCCAGTGAATGTTACTTTCATATGTGCACATAAGTGTTGATTAATTAGTATCAATTTGATGGTGAATAAATGCGGTGTTTATTTTTCCATTTTTGTGATACTTCACTTAGAAGAATGGGCTTCAGCTCCATCCAGGGTAGTATAAGAGGTATTAATTCACCATTGTTTTTTGTGGCTGAGTAGTACTTCATGTTATGCATATACCACATTTTATTAATCCATGTATGTATTGATGGGCACTTGAGTTGTTTCTACGTCTTTGCAATTGTGAATTGTGCTGCTATAAACATTCGAGTGCAGATGTCTTTTTTGTAGAATGTCTGTTTTTCATTAGAGTAGATGCCCCTTTGTGATTCTCTTGGATCAAATTGTAGTTCTACTTTTATTTCTACTAAAGATATTTATTGATCAGAATTTGATAAAGAAAATTTTCCTAGAAAAATAAACTACATAACAACTTTTACCTTTTGGCCATTATTTTAACAAATCAAATTCTTCTCAGCACAAAATTTACAATTCTAAATTTTCATAAAAAGGTTTGCTTCATGTATCATCATCATTGCTTAGGTCTAAGATCTCTATTTTCATCCATGTTGCCATAGAAAATGTCCTTAATATCCACCTTTGGATAAGGAAGGTTTAAAACACATACTATATCACATCTGTATGCAAGGATGCTGCTCTACAATTTCTTACTTACCCAATGTTTAGATTAGTTCCTGAAATAGTGATAATGCCTTTTATTTTCTTCTCCCTGATGGGCTGACTGACTAAATAAATAAGAAGACATAAGTAATATATCCATTAAGTACCCTTCACCTATTATCATATAAAATCAAGCTGGTGGTGTTTGGGTGTGATGGATCATGCCTGTAATCCTAGCAGTTTAGGAGTCTAAGGCGGGAGAATCACTTGAGTAGAGTTTGAGACAAGCCTGAGTAGCAGATTCTGTCTCTACAAAAAATAGAAAAGTTAGCCAGGCATGGTGGCACAAGCTTTTAGTCCCAGCTACTCAGGAGGCTGAGGCAGTAAGATCACTTTAGCCTAGTAATTTGAGGTTGCAGTGAGCTATAATGATGCCGATGTACTCTAGCTGGGGTAACAATATGAGACTCTGTCTCAAAAAAAAAATCAAGCTGGTGCTGTTCAGGGTAGTTTTTAACTGATTATACACAAATCACATGCCCTCATAATATTAGAGATGTATCTTCTCTCCAGCAGTAGTTTTTGTATGCCTGTTAGTATGTATTTCTGTGTGTATGTGTGTATGTCACAGAGAGACATAGACAGGGACAAACACAGATATAAAAAGGCAGACAGTGAGACAGAGAGAGAGGGAGACAAAAAGAAAGAAGAGGCAACTGAAATCTGAGATAAATCATGCAACAAGTCTATGTAGCCATTCTTCAACCTCATTAGTTAACTCAGCAGTACCTGGGTATGTCAGAAAAGTCCCATGTGAAACCACATTCAATCTCTGATTGTATTAATCTAGGTGAGAACAGAAAACAGAACAGAGACACCCACAAAACACTATCAGCCTGAATCAGAAGCTACCAGCCAAGGAGCCCTAAGCCAATATGCTCAAGCAAAATGGTACAGTCTTCAGGCCCTCGGTGCTGATGCTGATTGGGATCCCTGGCTTGGAATCTGTGCAAGTCTGGATTGGGATTCCTTTCTGTACCATGTACATCATTGCTCTGTTTGGGAATTCCCTGCTTCTGGTTGTCATCAAAACTGAGCACAGCCTCCATGAGCCCATGTACATCTTCCTGGCAATGCTTGGAGCAACAGACATTGTTCTCAGTACCTGCATCCTACCCAAAATGCTAGGAATATTCTGGTTTCATCTGTCAAAGATCTACTTTGATGCTTGTCTCTTGCAGATGTGGCTCATCCACACATTCCAGTGTATTGAGTCAGGTATTTTGCTGGCCATGGCCCTGGACCGCTACGTGGCAATCTGTGAACCTCTGAGACATGCAACCATCTTTACACACCAACTTCTCACTCAGATTGGTGTTGGAGTGACACTCAGAGCAGCCCTCCTTGTAGCTCCATGTCTCATCCTCATCAAATGCCGGCTGAAATTCTACCGGACCACTGTGGTCTCCCATTCATATTGTGAGCATATGGCCATCGTGAAGTTGGCAGCAGAAGATGTTAGAATCAACAAGATCTATGGTTTGTTTGTGGCTTTCAGCATACTTGGCCTTGATATCATCTTCATCACTCTCTCCTACATTCGAATATTTATAACTGTCTTCAATCTTCCTCAAAAGGAAGCTAGGCTCAAGGCCTTTAACACCTGCATTGCCCACATTTTGGTCTTCCTCGAGTTTTATCTCCTGGCTTTCTTCTCTTTCTTTACACACAGGTTTGGGTTCCATATACCATCCTACATTCATATTCTTCTGTCAAACCTTTACCTGCTTGTCCCACCTTTGCTCAATCCTATAGTCTATGGAGTGAAGACCAAACAAATTCGAGATGGTGTGTTTAAGATATTCTACCATAAGAATCCTTCTTGATTTCTAATTTATCTTATTTAAATAAAAAAAGTTTGAAACAACCTCCTTCTTGATCAAAATGTGTGCTTTATCACATTCATTGAGTGCTAAAATATAAGGTTCTAGTTTTGCATTCAAGACATAAGACTTTGACTGCTAAACTATTTCATTTGTTTGGGTTACTGAATTAATTGAAGGACACAGAGCTAATCAAATGTCATCAACTGATGACATAAAGGCAAAAATTTAAAGAGTTGTTTATAGTTTTATCAGTTCTAAGCAATGGATTTTATTTTATTGTATATTTCATTTTGTTTTATATTTTATTTTTATTTTTTACTCATCCTAAGAGGAACTGTGAGACAGAGGGACTTGTTTTATAAGTAACATTCAATGTTAATATTTTAGCCACTGGTTTTTCTTTACTTCAAAATGCTAAGGGAGTACAAATGTTTTAGCTTACATGGATCACTTTTGTAATACTTGAGTCCCAGCTATAGGTGTGTCCATCACCCAAAACTTGTTCATTGTACCTATTAGGTAGGTTTTTGTCCCTCCCATCCTCTCTCCTCCCCTTGGTTGATTTCCACTGTGTTTTACTTCCCTGTGTGCACATATATGCTCATCGGTTAGTTCCAAAAAATATCAAGTGACTTCATTTGTACTAAGTCATTTGTACTATTTTTATTGTCACACTAAAGTATACTAATCACCATACTAAGGTGCTGATTTATAAACTTGTAGGTTTGCATTTAAGATAGCAAGGCTGTTATTTTTAGTTAAATGGTTTCAGTTGCTTTGGATACAGAATTTATTGGTCAGTAGATGTCAAAGAAAACAGAAATCGCTAAGGTTGTTTTTCAATTACTGAAGATCTTTCTTCGGTATCAGTGTAAAAATGTTCCTTAAACACACACCTAAATTTAAGTGTTATCATCTAATTAAAAATACTGAGTGCAAGAAGTTCTTTAACACTGAATAAGTTTAGTCTTTAACCTGATAATTACAATGATAATGAACTAATTCTTCTTTTCTTCCCGGATTTGGATCACTATCATCATTATTATTATCATCACTATTCACATTTTATGTTATTTCTGTCTTATCATGATCTGAGGACTAGGAAGCTTCATGTGTATTTTTATGGTTAGAATGCATTTTTATAGCCTTTATTTCTAGAACAGATTTGGATTTACAAAAATTAGAATCCAGGCCGGGCGCGGTGGCTCACACCTGTAATCCTAGCATTCTGGAAGGCCGAGGTGAGTGGATTGCTCGAGGTCAGGAGTTTGAAACCAGCCTGAGCAAGAGTGAGACCCTGTCTCTACTATAAATAGAAAGAAATTAATTGGCCAACTAGTATATATAGAAAAATTTAGCTGGGCATGGTGGCGCATGCCTGTAGTCCCAGCTACTCAGGAGGCTGAGGCAGGAGGATTGCTTGAGCCCAGGAGTTTGAGGTTGCTGTGAGCTAGGCTAATGCCATGGCACCTACTCTAGCCTGGGCAACAAAGTGAGACTCTGTCTCAAAAAAAAAAATTAGAATCCATACATAGTACAAAGAGTTCCCATACACAATACACCTATTTTGTTATTTTATCAGCATTCTACATTAGTGTGGCATATTGTTACAATTAGTAAATTGATATTTATATATTATAATTAACAAAGTCCATAGTTTTTAAGAATATTTTCTTAGTTTTTTTTTTCCTAATTTCCTTTTTGCCCTCAAGGTTTCATCTAGGATGCAACAGTACATTTAGTTGTCCTATCTCCTCTTAACTGTGAAAATGTCTGAGACTTTTCTTTATTCTAATGACCTTGACACTATTGAAGAATACTATTCGGGCATTTTGTATGATGCTCTTGTACTGGAATCAATTTGATACCATTCATAGAATTAGACTTTGATTATGTGTTTAGGGAAAGAAGATCAGAGTTAAAGTGGCATTTTGATCACATTGTATTGAGGATACCTACTATCAGCATAATTTATCACTACATATGTTAACCTGATTACTTACTTGCCTGAGCTAGTGTTTTTATGTTTTTTTACTGTGAAGTTCTTTTCTTTTCTTTTTTTTAAATATCTATTTCTATAGGGTACTAGAGACTTATTTCCTCTTCCTTAACGTCAGAATAGCTACTTAATTGAATACATCATTTCAAATTCCTCTACATGGGAGATTTTTATTATTCCCCTGTGATTAATGTATTCAATAATTTATTTATATCAGTGTGGATTTATGTATATTTACATTATATTTCAGATTATTATCCAGTGTCCTTTTATTTATTTTAATGCTTCAGTTGTTTCAGTTTGGTCATTGGTAGCTCTTTCATGTAACTTCTGTTCCTCTTTGTGCGGTGTGGGTATATATGTTTGTGTATGTGTGTGTGTTTGTATACGTGTGTGTATTTTAGCACTTCTTAACCTATGGCACTATAAAATGGTCGAGGTTCATCCTGGATATTTCCTCACTCAGTTCTGCAATGAACCATTTCCCCCAGAAATTTTGTTGCTTTTGTTAGCTAATGGTGTCAGAAAGACATTTAAGGAGCAATAAGCACACTTAGGGCCCACGTGTGCTTATTGCTATTTAAATGTCTTTCTTCTGACTCTTTTGGCTGACAGAGCATGCAGTTATATGTGTGCATGCTCACTCAGGTTTATACATGTAATGATACAGATTTCTATATGTAACTATTTGTATCTAAATTAAGATAATCTTCAGTTTTTATTAATGTCTGCAACTTTAAATAATTTAATTCTGGCATGGATCTTTCTAGGGTCTTCCCCTGTTTATCAGTAAATTCTCCCTTCTATAGTAAAAAAACTGACTTCAACCTTCTGTCATCCATTTACTTCACTGGTAATTTACAGTTCAGATGTAAAGCAGTATGAAAATTGCTGATCTTTGCCCCTGTGGGCAATAACTTTATCAACTAAAGTACAACACTTATGGGCAGTTCATTTTGCCTTTATTCCTAAACTCCATTCATTTCCCAAGTTACTTAGGTCAGTACCTTATCCCACCACCCCTTCTGTGAAATTGTTTTAGACCTCTGCCATGCAGTTAGATTATTTTTTTACAGTATGAACTTCTGAGAATTTCCCAACCTTCTGATTATTTTTAATTTACATATACTAAAAGTATTTTTGTGCTGTAAGGTTCATTTATTTTCCTTTTTACAAATGCATAATGTCATGTATCTACCACCTCAGTAACATATTATACACTTTGCTATTCAAGTATGGACAAAGATAGTTTTGTTTCTTCCTCCCAAATCTGCATACCTTTTACTTCCTTTACTTAGGTCATTGCACTAGCTAGGAATTTCATTATGGTGTTGAAAAGGAGTTGTATGAGGAAGAAAATGTGCCTTCTTCCAGATGTTAGAGTGAAAACATTCAATTTTTCACCATTAAGTATGATATTAGAGTAGAACTCTTGGTAGCTTTCTTTATCAAATTGAAGGGTTTTTTGTTTGTTTGTTTGTTTCTTGAATGGGTACTAGATTTTGTCAAACACATTTACTGCACTAATTTGTATGATTATATGGCTTTTCCTTTTTAGTCTGTTGATATTATGGGTTATATCAATTGATTTTAAAATATTAAATCAGTCCTCAACACCTGGAATAAATCCTCCTTTTATTTGATGTAGTATCATTTTTATTAATTACTCAGTTTTATTTGTTAACACTTGTTTGGGCTTCATACATCTACCTTCATGAGAGGTATTGTTCTTAGTTTTCCTTTCTGTTAATGATTTTAATGTGCTTTGATATTAGAATAATGCAACCTCATAGAATGAATCAGGGAGTGTTCCCTCTGCTTCTATATTTCTAGAAGAGATTAGAGGGAATGAATATCGTTTATTTAAATGTTTTCTAGAACTCACCAGTGAAAGTATCTCATCCTGTTTTTTTCTGATTTGAAATGTTACTATTTACTGATTCATTTTTAATAGATTCCAACCAGTTCATATTTCAGTTTCTTCCTAAGTTTTGGTAGTTTGTGTCTTTGAAGGAATTGATCCATATAATCTGGTATCAAATTTATGGGCATAGGATTGCTTAGAGCACTTTTATCTCCCTTTAACTATCCATGTGACAAGCCATGATAACTCCATCTTTCATTTCTAGTATTAGAAATTTATTTTTACTAACATTTTCTTATTCACCTGGCTATAGTTTTATTAGTTTTATTATCTTTATAGAGATAATATTTTGGTTTATAGATTTCTGAATTTTTCCTTTATTTAATTTATTTGATATCTTTTTGAATTGTTATTGTTTCTTTTCCTCTTTTTGCTTTATGTTTGTTTTTCTTCTTCAAGTTCCTGAAATGAAAGGTTAAATTACTGATTATAGATATCTCTTCTGATATTAATTATGCATTTAATATTATATAATTTCCTATAATACTATTTTCACTGCATCCCACACATTTTCATTACGTTTGATTTTGATTTTATTTATTTTGATTTCAAAATAGAATGTTTAAAAAATATTTCTTGTGACTTTTTCTTTTATCTATATATTATTTAGAAGTATATTGTTTAATCTCCAGATATTTGGGAATTAATTAGGTATGTTTCTGCTAATAATATCTAGTTTAAGTCAATTGTGGTATGTGAACTACTTTGGATTATTATTATTGTTTTTTACATTTGTTAAGGTGTGTTTTATGGCCCAGAATGTGGTCTATCTTTGTGAATGTTTCATATGAGCTTAGAAGAATGGTCATTGTGATGTCATTAAATAAAGTATTCTACAAATATGGTTAGATCAAGCTATCGATGACATTCTTTAGCTTACCTATTTATTTATACTCTGCTTCCTTGATCAATTACTGAAAGAGAGGAGTTCAATTCTCCATTTACAGTAGTAGAATTTTCTATATCTCTTTGCAGTTTTGTCAGTTTTGCTTACATATTCTGATTGTTGTTAAGTTAATATATATTAATGATTGTTATGTCTTTCTGGAGATACGACTTTTTGTTATTATAATATGACCACTTTTATGATAATTTTATATGATCTAAAGTCTGCTTTGTTGAAAATTAAAGTAGATGGTCCAATTTTCTTTTGGTTAGCATTGCATACATTTTTTATACCTTTACTTTTAACATTTGTTTGTTTTTATATTTAAAGTCAGTTTATTGTACACAATATGCAGGTGTATCCTGGATGTTTTTATTTATTATGAAAATCTTTGCTTTTTAATTGGTGTTTAGACAATTCACAGTTGAAGGTTTATTAATATTATTGAATTAATATATGTAACTATATTCTAGTCATTACATTGATTTTTTTCATTCTTTATTTTTTCTTTCCCCCTTTTTCCTGTCTTCCCTGGATTTAATGAGATTATGACATGATTCCATTTTCTCTCCTTTCTTAGAATATCATTATACTCCTTTAAAGTGTTTAGTAGTTGCCATAGAGTTTTCAGTATATGTTTAGAATTAATCTAAACCCACTTTCAAATAACACTGAACTGTTTATACATAGTGGAGGTACCTTATGATGGAGTTCTCCCAATCCTTCGTCTCCCATTCTTTATAATATTGCTGTTATTTATTTTTATTTCCTTTATCCATATCCTTTAATCACCTAGTACCTGGTTACTACTATTGCTTTGAACAATGAGTCATATATTAAATCAACTAATTATAAGTAATATCAAATCTTTTATATCACCTTCATTTTTTTCCAAAGATTTTTTTTTCTTTACTTAGATTCCAGCCTCTCATCTATATATTTTTCCTTCTCCCTGAGTTATTCTAACATTCTTATAGAACAGGATAGTATGAGTTTCCAGTGGTGTCTTATTCAGGTAAACTGACATTTACTATGATTCTCTGTGTTGGCCTGACTCTCCAGATTTTGGGGGTAGCAATTGTTCCTATAACCTCATTTAACTATGAGTTGAGAAAACTAAATGGTTTTGGGGCTTTTTTGTTCTTAGAGGTTTTTTTTGTTGTTGTTGTTGTTGTTTGTTAGCCATAAATTCTTTGCCTAAGCCAATGTCTAGAAGATTTTTTCCCACATTTTCCTCTAGAATTCTTATGGTTTCATGCCTTACATTTAAAAACAATTATAACACCAATAAATAAATAAATACATGGGACTTGATTAAATTAAAAGCTTCTTCACAGCAAAGGAGCTAATTAACAGAGAAAATAGACAACCTACTGAATGGGAGAAAATATTTACAAACTGTACATTTGATAAAGGGCTAGTATCCAGAACCTACACTGAATTCAAACAAATCAGCAAGAAAAAACTATTACAAAGTGGACAAAAGGCATGAAAAGAAGTTTCTCAAAAGAAGACAGACAAATGGCCAAGAAACATATGATAAAATGCTCAACTATACTAATCATCAGGGAAATGCAAATTAAAACCACAATGAGATATCACCTTACCCCTGTCAGAATGGCTATTATAAAAAGTCAAAAACCAATGGTGCCTGTGTGGATGCAGAGAGAAAGGAATGCTTATATGCTGTTGGTGAAACTGCAAATTAGCATAACGTCTATAGAAATCAGTATAGAGATTCCTCAAAGAACTATAGACCTACCATTTGATCCAGTAATCCCACTACTGGGTATTTACCCAGAGGAAAAGAAGTCATTTTTCAAAAAGACAGCTGCACTCAAATATTTGTTGCAGCACAATTCACAATTGCAAAGATGTGGAATCCACCTAAGTGTCCATCAATACCTGAGTGGATTAACAAAATATATATAGCCCCCATGTACTACTACTCAGCCCTAAAAAGAAATAAATTAATGTCTTCTGGAGACATTTGGATGGACCTGGAGACCATTATCCAAAGTAAAATGTCCCAAGAATAGAAAAATAAAGACCACATGTACTGTAATAATTTGGAATTAATTGATGGGCACGCATGGCAGAGAGAAGTAAAAGTCATTGGAAATCAAGAAGGGAGAAGAGTAAAAGAGGAGAAGGAAATCCAACTCAACAGGTAAAATGAACACTTTTGGGGTGATAGGCACACTAATAACCCTGACTTAAGCATTGGAAAAACAATCCATGTAACAAAAATATTTGTGTCCTCATAATATTTTTAAAATTACAAAAAATAATTTTTACTTGCTATAAGGAGAGGAGTGATGATTTATAAACTTTTTATAAATTGGAACTAAAATAGAAATTCTTATATGCATTTTAACCAAAATTTCCCACTAAATATTTAGACAATTTACTACATATCTCTGTATCTGGAGATAGATATGGATATGGATAAATAGGTAAATAGATATTTGGATAAACACAGATAGATATGTAAATATTTGAACCATAACCATGAAATTTCTGAGGACTAAATGAAATAATAAATACTTTCCTATTAGCACTTTCCTATTATTTGAGGTAAGTCTGATTTAATGAATGAATTTTAACATAAATTGTCATAACCATAGCTATTAGTTAAAAGGAAAAAAATTTAATTCCTCAAGGAAGACCATTTCTTTCTGAATTATATATGTTCATATGGTTATTGAAATTGTTATATATAACCGAAACTAAACTACAAAATAAATTTCACACATAAATGTGTATATGTAGAAAATACTAGATGATAAAGTAGACCTTTATCTTAACAAATGTTTATCTGTAAATGTTTTCCTCAATTTTAAAACATTGTTGTTATAAAATATTTTGATAGAACATGTAAAACTAAAAGGTTGAGAAAGACAACTATACAGTGATGTAAGTGACTTAGATCTTAAAATATATCCATCTCTTGCTCAAAATTATAGATCAGAGAACGGATAGATAATAAACAGTTCAAGCTTTGTTGGCCATGCAGTATCTGTCGTAATTATTCCACTTTACCATTACAGGGCAAAAGTGTCCACAGACAACGCGTAAATTAATGGATACGGCACTTCTCCAAAGAGGCAGCAACCTGTATTTGGACTATGTACTATCACTTGTTCCATTGGCCTGACATATTCATGTGCGATTGATCAAATGTAGTATTAGTATTTTGTATAAATATAAAATATAGGTATGGCCACTTAATTAATACATTTAGGTTTGGGGACAGATTTATTATCTGGAGCCAGATCATCCATTTTATGCCAGATTGTATGGGACTTACACCATTATCATTGTGCTGTTCTTTATTTCCTAAGGTGAACGATGACCTTCATAGTGACACAAGTCAGACCTTTTCTAATTGGATGTCTCTTGCTGCTTTTCTAACTGTATGACTTTCTTTGAAGCTTTCTTCTCCTTTGCTTTTATGAAATCACTCTCTTCTGGATGTGTTCTCACTTTTCTTACTATTTCTATTGATGTTCATTATGATGTTACCTCTACTCAGACACATTTGCCTTGTTTTCTTTCTGGTAAAATCATCATTCTTGAAGATTAAGGTCAACCTTTCCTTGGCATCTCCTCCAGTAGGCTATGACTGGAATTTTTTTCTCTGGCTCAGTGTTATTTTTCCATAATCACCTATACAATTTTTAAGCTGTATTACATTGAATGTATTTTTCTCTATAATAACTGGTATAGATGCTGTTTTTCTGTTTATTGATGATTTTAATTAATTAATTTATTCTTTTACTACTTAGTTTATCATATCACTGTAGCATATATTTGACCCATAAATAGTTTATGACATGGACAAATTTATGACAGATTACTAATTTCAGTGACTTAGAATGATATTCATTAAGATTAGAGGTATAATAGGGTGGTCCTGATTGAGATAGTTAGTGAAAATGTCCAATTTTGGATGTGTTAAAGGAATAAGACTTTGTGGTAAAGCTGCCTAGTTTGGAGCTACATTTAGGCATCTGGAAAAATACCTTTGCTAATTGATCATAATATTTCTAATGCCTATTATACCACTGACACTGGTGTATATAAGGACTAAGGTATCGCTGACTATTGTGATAATTATGTTCCATTCATTGCCTCATTTGATCCTTACCTTGACCTTATGATATATGTAAATAATTGTCTTCATTTAACAAATGATAAAAGTAATGATATACAGAGTTAAAAATAAAATTTATTCAGCTGTTAGTGAATAAAGCAGAATTTCAAATTGACTTTTCTCTTCTCAGAATCCTAGCTCCTAAATACCTGTTATAGCCACTCAAAATATATTCATTGAAAAAATTGACAAAATACATGATTACTATACCAAAAGAAAGCACAACTATTTGCTACATAATTACATACAAACATTAATAAAGCATATTCAGTGAATTAACAATAAGAATAATGCTGTAGGAAACAAATATGAAAAGCCAAAGTTCTAGCAAATTAATTCATTTCAGAACACAAAAATGTCCAATTCTGGATAGAGCTGGGCCCATTCTGCTAAATGAAGTATCACAAGAATTTGGAAAAGACCTTTCCATCAGGATGTGCAGAGTTCAAATTAGGAAAAATATATATTATAACTTGCAGAGTCCATTATATTGAGAAGTTTTAAATTTTTACAGTAATTGGTCTAGTCATTTTACATTTTTGAATACAATAAAATATTCTTGATAACATGGAACATAAAATGATATTAATAATAATTACAATCATCATTAATATTATTGAAAACATTCTACAAAAGGCATTCCATTATTTCTAAAAGAATGAAAGAAAAATCATAAAAAAATAAAAGAAATAGAGAAAAAATGCACAACATCAAAAATCCCTGCTACAAAGCTTAGTCAAATTGAGAGATAACATTTTGGAACAAGGAGGTGACATTGTTAACACACTATGACTATGTGAGCCAGATTCTGCCAAAATGATTTTGAATTTAAATGTTTTATTCTTCAGAAATTTTCTTATTTGGGAAAAAAAGACTCACCACTCGGTCACGAATCTGCTTGGTCTTGACACCATACACTAAGGGATTGACTGTAGGGGGCACTAGAAGGTACAAACTTGCAAAAATTATGTGGACGCTTGGAGGTACCTTCTTGCCAATGCGGTGAGTTAGGAAGCTAAACAGTGCAGGGGTGTAGGAGACAAGGATAGTGCCGACATGGGCAGCACAGGTGCCCAGTGCTTTAGAGCGGGCATTCTGGGAAGAGAGCCGGAAGACAGCCTGGAGGATTTTGATATAGGATGTGGCTATGAGCCCTAGGTCCAATATCATTACTGAAAGGGCCACAGAGATTCCGTATGCTCTGTTAATGAGGGTGTTGGCACTGGCCAACTTCACCACTGCCATATGCTCACAATAGGCATGATTGATGACATTTTTGGTGTAATATGGTAGCTTGTTAATGAGAAGAGGACAGGGCAAAACCATAAGGATAGCTCGCATTGCACCAACTAAAAACATTTTAATGACCATTGGTGTTGTCAGGATGGTTGTATAACGCAATGGGATGCAAATAGCCACATAGCGGTCAAAAGCCATGGCAACTAGGAGGGCAGACTCAATAATGCAAAATGTGTGGATGAAATACAATTGTGCTAGGCAGACATTAAAGTCAACCCAGTGTGCATCAAACCAGAAGATGCCAAGCATCTTGGGTGCTGTGGAAGAGACAAGAGCCATGTCATTCATTGCCAGCATGCAAAGGAAGAAATACATAGGCTGGTGGAGGCTTGGCTCCAGCTTGATAGTAACAATGATTACAGTGTTCCCCAGCAAGGTCAGGGCAAACAAGAGACAGACAGGGATGCCAATCCAGTGCTGAAAATCTTGCAAACCAGGAATACCAACCAGGAAGAAAGACGAGATGTGGTAATATGTTGCATTGTCTCCCATGTTAAAACTTTAGAGGTTGCATGTTTAGTACAAAGTAGCCAGGAAAAACTCTTCCATGATTCTGCCTGTGGGGGTTCCAGACACAATGTATAGTAACCTATATGAAAAGCCAACTCTTCTCCTACACCTTTGTAAATCATCCGGTAAAACACTTCAGCACTCCATGCTCCAGCATCCTCAACTGCAAATGAGAAGTTTAATTTCATTTTCTGAGTTTTGCTATTTTATTCAATTCCACTACATAGTTTTTATTTCTTATAAGAAGAGTAGTTAGTAATAAAATAACCTCATCTTTATGCCAAAGCCAGTGTTTGTGACATAAACAGTCCTAGAAGAAAAGATAATTTGCTGTTATCAAAGATACTGGGATAAAATATGGAGAAACAAACACATACCCCCAAAATAAGAGAGGCATTTAAACATGCAATCGTTTTTTAAGAATACTGTTGTCCTTAGGCAGCATAACTTAATCAGGAATTCAGAATAGGATCCCCAAATTCTAAAACTAAGTAAAAAGCATATCAAAATTAAAGATAATAAAATGCTTTATCATCAGTCATGGGTAAATTTATGCCATTTTAGATGAAGTCATGAAGAAGATTTGAAGATGGACAGAGTTACACAACCATATAAAAATAATAAAAGTTTTATTTCTTTGTGCTGTCAAATGATTTAAAATAACTATTAAATACATGTAATAACATTAGTTCTTAATAAATTCAATCTATTTTTCTACAAGCCACAGCTCCCTCTGTAGACTCACCCCTCTGGCTCTCACAGCCATATGCATAATTAAGGTAAAGAGGAAAAGCAACTACAGCTCAGTGTTTTGGATTTCAACATGAGAGTAGCTGCTATGACCACATCCTTTAATTCTGACAAGAGCCCTCTATCCTGCTTCTCAGAATCCAGTTTCTCCCTCATACCAAATTTTTAGCATATTCACTCCATTCTTCATAACATGATTTTTATTTATAATTGCCCCCAGTTTATTAATTTCTACTTCTGACCCTCACTGATGGGAAATAGCAATGCTTCCTTGTCTGGATGTCCAAATAGTGCCTTTGTGGAAAATACCATTTCTGGTTATTGTATCTACATTCTATTAATATCACTAAACATATGCTACTCTGGGCTGAAAGAAGTTAGTCTCTGAGATATTTCCTAGTAATGAATTGAAAAAAGTCAATGGCTTATAAAATACTTCAGAAAAATTCAGAGCTTAAACTTTCACCAGAATATAGAAACTTAGAGTAGTGAAAATTGACACATAAAGCCTATAACCTGAAATAGAGATAAGAACTTAACACAAAATCAACAAATATAGAACTTTCAAGGAATGAATTTTTAAAAGTATTTATTGAGCTTTGTCTCTTTGTAAATCTTAAATGACTGCTTCTCATTTGGAAGCTGGGTTTTTCAAGTTCCGTACATATATTTGTCTCTGGGAGAATCAAACACATAAAAGGCTGATGCAAAATGAGAGTTCGTAATTAAGCCCAGAGTTCTAATTAAAGAAGCAACTTAACCCACCTAAAGATATATACGTAGATTAGCTAAGAATCATTGCTTAGGTATACAAACAAGCATACTTGTTATGATAAATTAATATAAATATTTAAAAATCATTCTCTTATAGTTTCCAATAAATTTGCTTATAAGATGGCAGCATGTCAAAATTATATCAAGACAAAAAAACCAAAGTGACTTTCACTTAAATAAGAGAAGCTTCCTGTCAGGGCTCTAGAAACAAAACACAGAGAAATTTGCAGAGAACAACCTCAACTGATGATCTGCTTGTACAGTCACCACTCCTTCCTAGGAAGTCTTCTCTAGCTTCTCTCAGCATGGTTTTGAATGGAACTTTGGAGACATCTATTTATTTCTATAAGGTAATGCTTAATATTATCTTCAGCAGACAGTCTGCCCAGACCACTCTACCACTTTAACTCTTCTGTTGACATTATTATTCCATTTGTTTCTGAGCCAAATAAATACCTTCTTCCTTCTAATAACTTGGGCTTTGACAATTTGCTTGTTTCTAGGTCAATCAACAAAGCCTCTTGCCTGAAATCTGACACCAGAGGAGATGACTGTATCAGAATACAGAATACTATATTTTCTATACAGCCTTTTTTGAATGTATTGCATATTTGATATTAATGTATCACAATAACAATGCAATACTCCAAACTAAATTCAATTAAGTTCTTCCATTCTGTTTCATCTGACAGTATTTTATTTGGTGGCAACAACAACCAACCAGCCTATAAAGTTAGAAATCTCCCACTACCCTTGCCCCTTCCCTCCAATCAACTCTAATACTTCAGGCAAGCACTCACTAAGCCTCTTATTTATGTTAAAGCTGTTACCATAGTCTTTGCATTTGTTTATTGTCATGCCAGCCTCCTTCATAAGACAGAAACCACCAAAAGGAACGCATTGAACTCCAGTAAACTCACAATAAATTTCAGGGGATATCCGATTCTTCTGTACATCTTCTATAGTCTTAAGATTTTCAATGATTTTTAATCTTGTTACTAAAGCTTCTGACCCTTCAGAGGTGGTCTGTCTATTCACAGTTATTGTCTACTATCTGTTCACTTCTGCTGCCTTCTTAGAATTTGTACTTTCAAAATTATTTCTAGGAAGAGTTGCATAACTAGAGATGAACCTTTAGTAAAGATTTACAAGATTCTTCCATAATTATCTTGAATATACGTGTGTGTATCTGTCCTCTAGAATTGTCTCATTCCTCTTCTCCATTACTAAATCACATTATTCAAATGCCCATGTCTCTTATTAATGTATAATATCATTTATAGGTTTGCAAATCTTCCTTTCCTATTGACTTCCACCAAATTTATCTTGAATATTATCATACAACCTACTGTGTATTGCAGATGGTAATAAAAATAGCCACCTGTTCCCTGCAAATGTTTAAATGATTATTTTCAACTCCAGCATCTCAGTCCATGAGCATATATGGGAATGGTTATAATGTGATAGTGCTTGTAGCAGTAAAGTATCTGTGTCAAGTGGATAGATATGTTGGTTTGTAATAGGCTATTCCAATGCTCAGGAGGCATCTGAGATCTAGAAGGCTGATGGGTCCCAGGACTAAAAACAAAGTAGTAGCAATGTCCCTCTGGAACAGCCATGTTAACACTGCAAACTTCCCAGAGTGTATATGTGCTTAGTATTCATGTGTTTCTCCTCTGGATACTGTAGCCTTAGGAGGCTGTCCCATGGTGTCCCGTAAAATGAGATGCCTGAGATGCCAATCAAATATGTAGTTCACTGGAGAAATATGCAAGGAAACTAGGAAGAGCAAACCAATTTAGTGTGAGCAAGATATCTGAAAATTAAGAGATGGACATTGCAAATTCTAATTCCAGAATGACTATCATTGAATTCTCACTTTTGCTTCAGGAGAAGATTCAGGTCTTCTGAAAGAGTAATGGAGCCTAAGATATTTCACAATGTCCATTCGGTTTTGCTTTTTCCCTTGTAAGATTTTAGTGAGACACAATTTTCATACATACCCTCTATATTTCTTCTCCCCATATGGACATGTGCTCACATGCACTTATAGGTTCATATGTATTCTGTTTTTCAGAGGAAATAAGTCAATAGATTTCTATTTGCTGTGGCTAAAGCTATTGGCCCTTCAGCTCTATATACCTGATCATATTTCTTTATTTCCTTATATTCCTATCAATTTTTAGCTTTCTTTTTTTTTTTTTCTGATGGGGGCTTAAATAGTATTTCAGTGCTGTTCTAATTTTTCTTTCCTCATTTCCAAAGAGTTTGAATATCTATTCATGTGTTGGACAGCCCTTTGCCTACTTTTCTCTCCTACAAACTGGTTGTTTTTACTTTTGTTTTCTATTGAAAATTGTACATTTTTCTTGTTGATTTGCAAATGTTTTCTGGATATTCCTACTCAAATCTTGGTAGTCAAAGACATTGCAAACATTTTCTCCACTTGATATGTTATCTTTGTTTATGATGTTCTTAGTTCTATAGAAATCCTCAAATTTGATTTAAAGTTATCAAAATTTTACAGTACACTTCTGTACTCTTGGAATTTTCTTGTAAGTCTTTTCCCATATTTATGTCTCAGTTATTTTCTTGCATTAACTTTTCTAAGTTAACAGCTTTGTTTTAAAAAACTTAAAAATAAAATTATATTTAGTTGTGGGGTATATTATGAAGTCCATCAGGAAATTTCACCTCAAACTATGACTCCTTGGTGCAAAGAGTATTTAAAGTTGATGGCCTCTAGAGATCAACATGTACATGAAGGAGCTTTTGCTGTTTCTTCATAAAAATCCTGACCCAGTAGAAAGAATAATCAACTTCCCTTTCCCTCCCTGTTATCTCAACATATTGTAGGAAAGAATATCAAGGATACAACCAGACTTGGCCCAAATAATTTTAAATATAATACCACCTCTCTCAAGTTAATTTCCAAAGAGAGTCATTTACAATTCAATATATTTTCCCCATCCATTCATTCTCCCAAGTATCTATCCATCCTCCCTAGAAACCATTTATCTCCCCTAAACAGAATTATCTGTATTCCTCATCTCCTTCTCTCCTCTAGAATGAGGGTATATAAATTTCTAGATGCCACTGGAATATTGGGTAACTGCTGTGTGATTTTCTCCATGTGCATGATAAATAAATTCATTCTTCTATTAATCTGCTTTATTGTTAGTGGATCTTTCAGCAATCTTTTGGGGGAAATAGGAAGTTTTCCCTCACCCCTACACAACCAACTTTGTAGAAAAAAGAAAATGACTTATCCTGCGAGAAATCCAAGCAAGATAGATGAACTCTGAATAGATTGACAGAAATTACTAACTTGATTTATATCATTATCTGTGTATTTATGGTCAAAACAGGATGGGGGACACAGAGTGAAAATTGTACAGGCATATTTCTGAATAAGTAATATGGAGGTGTTAGTTTTTGACAGGAATTAAGATATTTTGTGGCAATTATCACATTGATTGAAAGAAATTGTTTTTGATTACTATTAAATCCTGAGTTTGGTTTTATATAAGACACCATGTAATTATGTCGTGAGCCACAAAGAGCTCATATTTATGAAATTTAGACTAGAACCAGCTTACTACATTTGGCTTACATTGATATATTTTAGCAAATTAAAGCAAGGATTAAAATTTGCATCAAAAGGAATACTAGTTAACCAGGTCCAAATGCTCTGTGATGTTTACCACAACGGATATTATTATCTCAATTTTCAAAGCTATTCCTTAGTTCAGGGATCATTCTGCCACAAAGAAAATTTTGGATATCTTAGAGATCACATAAAAATATTGTGGCCTTCTTGCTACAAATTATATCCTGGAAGTCAAGTTATCCTTATTTCCTTGAGAAATCCTGTTGAGAATGAATAAATGAAAAGCAGAGTTTTAAATCTTAAATTAATTCAGCCGATATTGAGAGACTTTTGGAAATGTTTCTGTAACTTACTAAATCATGTACTGATTTATTTTTCTTTTTACATTCTTTATCAGGGAAATATAGAATACATTTAGAACAAAATAAATAAATTAAAAGTATATTTAATTCAAACATCTGAACATTTTGGGAAACAGTTTTAATCAAGCTACTACTGAATGTCTCTTCAAGTCATAGCTTTTAAAGTAAAATTTTCATCTTAAAAGTTTGGGATCCTAAGTGGTAGTCTTTACTTTTTCCTCCACTACTTTTATTTCTATTATAATCTATAACAACATATGCGTCAATACAATTAAAGATCAGAGTTTAAAACAGCAGAAAAATACAAGAAAAAAATTTAAATTAATTATTTATTTACTAATTTCTAATTTAACAAATTTTACCCAAATTTCGATCATGTTTCAAAAATTGCACTGGAAGCAAAATACACAATAGTCAGCAAAATGACACTGCCCCCTGTAGGAAGCATAGATGAATACAGAAACATAACATGCAAGTCTCATATAACTTAAGAAATAGCATAATGCAATCAACACTTAGGAGCACATATGCAAGTAACTTTCATCAGAAACTAAGCAGGTGGGGGGGGGAATGGGTAAATTCATACCTACCAGATAAAATGCACACTATCTGGGGCATGGGCACACATAACCTTGACTTAAACGGTACAAAAGCAATTTATGTAACAAATGTTTGTACCCTTGTAATATTCTGAAATATTAAAATGAATAAATAAATACTATAATGCTAGAATTATAGTTCAATGATAAGATAATGCAGATAAAAATTCTAACATAGACTTGGAATAAGGACAGATTAAGAAAGGTTTCTGGGTAATACTAATACTTAAGATGAGAACTAAAATCTTTTTATAGTTGTTAGAAGATTTCCTATCATTCTGAGGATATGAGAAGTCATGAAATATTTTTATTATTGCAATGAAATAAGTAAATAATAGCTAACAAACCCTAAAAGCATTATAATAGCAATTGTTTTAACAATTCCCCATCTAACCTAAATAAGGGATTTGGGTAGCATTTACATACTTATCTCCAAAAAATGTTTTGCTAATTTACATTCATATTAAAAAGCATGTAAGACTCTATGTAGAACATTACATCCTCAATAACACTGGATACTGATAATGCTATTAACTTTGCCAATTTATACACAATATGAAATTTTATTTGACTCATTTTTAAAAAAATTGATTATTTAACATTAAATGAGGTTGAGCCTCTTTTAATATTTATCAATCATTTGGATTTCTTATGCAAACAATTATAATTCTACCTTGTTTCTATGGTTTTTTTTTTTGTCTTTTGCCATGTTAATTTGTAAGAATGCTTAGTCAGGTAAACTAATTGATGTCATATATTGAAATTGCAAGCATTTATAGTTGGATAGTCAATATTATTTGTGTATGTACGTAGTGAATGTACTGGTGCTCAGTTTATGAACTCTCATTTCCTGTGCTCATTTAGAAGGTGCAGCTTATGCAAAAACTATTTTTTAAAGAAGAGTTTTTCGTTAATTTTATGGTTTAATTATTATAAATATAATATTTCCTAGCTACAAATTATTTTGGAATATTGGAATATTTGTATTCAAGTTAAGAAATTAGGTATAGCTTTAGCTTTAAGTTTTCCTATATGGTTATTAAATAATCCAGCTTTTCCCAAATGATATAAAATGTCACTAAATATTCATTAAATTCATTCACCATTTTTCTATGTCTCTACAGTTATTTCTGTACTAAATATTCAGTTATGCTGAAGTGTTTGGATATACTTTATACACATATCCTGCATTATAAGATAATATTGCTTTATGTTTTATTAATCTTAAAATCTAGTCAAAGGTATTAGCTGAAAAGGCCTTTTAATTTTTTTTTAAATTTTCCTATTTCTCTGAATTTTAACCTCACCTAGGAAGCTATAACCATTTAACATTGTTAAAATTTTTGTGATTTGTTTAATTACAGTGTCACTGTAGAATTATTTTAGGAGGGCAAATATAGTAAGAGT